CAAAAGTAATGGGCAGAAGTTGGCATCAGTTAAGGGGAGGGTTGATTAGAAACTAAAGATTTCTATCCAACCAATACATGCTGTTTCCCAGCTGAATGTTGGACAGAAGTCAGCTAGTAGTCAATTTTAAGTTGGATCTGTTCTCTTAATTCCATAGGGTTTGAATGTCTCCTTCTCCAGGGTGCAGGTTATTCTGGGTGAGCGGCTTAGTTAAGAACATAAGAGGAGACGGATTTTCAGTGGAGCTGAGAGCAGCTCTTGATGTTTCTGTACCTGCTTCCTTTTTCAGAGTGGAGTTAGCCTTGTCATAAATGATTTTTTTGTTTAACAAGATGTGAATTTAGAGTACTTTTGATTATAAATATATTGGTTATTTTGTGTTTTGAGTCTATTATGACAGTTGACATGGAAGGGAAATTTTAGATCTTTCATACCCGTCCCTGGCCATTTTCTTTCCATTTTCCCCCAGTGTCTGTATTGAATAGGAATTAATGTCATCAAGCCCCTTCTCCACCTCCCTCTTGGACCTTCACCCCAAACCCTCACCCTAGAAGACTTCGCCTCCTATGCCCTTGAGACCCTGAAACCTGCTTCTGCCCCCACTACTAGTTCAAATTCCCTGTCCTTCTGGATCACTGTTAAGGGTTCTCCTGGCCTGTTGTGTAGACATGGTGCTGCTTCTCTTGCTGCATGTGCTGTCAGAGTGCACACTTCCAGCCCAAGCTGCAGGGGCCTGTGTGTATGTTAAGTATAGAGATGTACTTGCTGGTCTGTGATTGTATGTACTATTTACTGGTGTCACCTGAATACCTCTTCTCAGCACCTCTAAAAAGCAAACTCATTATCTCATCACAGCATAGAACAAAAAGTCATCCACTCACCCTGTTGTATTTCTTCTGTGGGTAGAAGGCTCTATTACCCCAGCTGGGGACGGGCTCCTGGTATCAGCTGCCATTTGTTGTCCTTGCCCTGGCTGCCTCAGGGTTTATCCAGTCCTTGGGTTGGGCTGAGCCTCTCCTCCACTGACCCCTTTCAGCTTCACCTGCCCTGTGATGTCCCTTCCTCCCTGGCGGCGAGCTCTCCTGCAGCAGGGCCGCTCTCAGCCATTTCCACCTCTCCATCTCCGTGCCTCCCGCAGTTGGTGCCCAGACAGGGCTCTGCCAAGGGCAGCATGTCGTTTAACAGAGGTCCAGGGTTAGGCAGTTGGTTTTGAGTCTTACAGTTCTGTAAAAACTTAATTGGTTCTAGATATAAAAATACCATGACAAAGATTTATAGGTGTCATGCTGGATGTTCACTTGGGATTGATGCTTATTTGAAAATGTAGGGGTTTTTGTAGTGTTTATATTAAGTAATTTCCATTCTGGGCACACATTGGAAATTACGACTGTTGTGATAATATGGCTCTAAGACAAGATGTAAAAATCTGTTGTAAGTAGATCTTAACCTGTGGAGAAAAGTTAGTATCTGAAACCTTAGAGCAGAGGTCCTCAAACTTTTTAAACAGGGGGCCAGTTCACTGTCCCTCAGACCGTTGGAGGGCCGGACTATAGTTTAAATAAAACACAGCTATGAACAAATTCCTATGCACACTGCACATACCTTATTTTGAGGTAAAAAAACAAAATGGGAACAAATACAATATTTATATTTGCATGTGGCCTGCGGGCCGTAGTTTGAGGACCCCTGCCTTAGAGTCAAAAGATTTTAAAGTGGAACCCGTTGTCTCCTGAGAAGAAAGAGCCCAGCCTCTGGAGTCAAGTAGACCCAGGTTCACGTGTCAGTTCAGTTATGTGACCTACACCAATTACCTGACCCCTCAGCCTCAGTTTTCTCATCTGTAAAATGGGAGTGATACTGCTGTTTGCTTGATAGGGTTAAGATGATTATGAATAATACAGATAAAACAGCACAGTGTCTGCCGCATAACGGCTACTGTCTGTGCTGGGTGTTATCACATCGAGGCCCCTGGTTCAATTCTGTAAATGATCCATTACTCATAGAAGGCACAGTACTGTTCCCTGTAGTAAGAGAGGTGAGAAGAGTTTTGCAAGCTTAGTCTAATTGAACAGATTCCATTGGGTTCTCTTGAGCCTGTAATGGTTTCCTTTTTATAAAAGGGAAAATTATTCCCTGTGCTTCCTCAATTAGAGGAAAGAGGGCATTTACTCTCACAGGAGGGATGGAGGGAGTGTGTTGACATTAGAATTTTGCACATCAGTTCCTTCATTTAATGCTTAAGTCTGGACCAGCCAGTCCAACTGTGTTTTAGAAAAGGCTTCTTTTGTTTGAGCAGTGCCTTGGAGGGATGCTGCCATTAAATGTATGGTCACCTGTGCTTC